TGGGGGGAAATCAGTAAATAGATGGAAAGACAGGAAAATTTCAGTGTATTTTAGGGTGTTAGTGCTTTAAAGGCCTGGAAGAAAACCAGATGGTCCAATTCATTGTTAACGAAGATTGCAACTTCAATGCAGTGTTTCTAGGATGTTAAAAAATGTACATAAACTTGGTCCGGAAGGGGATCTCAGCCTCAGAATTGAGACGCCCCAGGGAGTGTGGGCATGAAAGAAAAAAGAAAAAAAAGGTTAATAGGAAACCAGTGACTTGCTCAATGAAGAAAATAAAAATAGGGTTTTCATTTTTCCTACCCTTTAACACTGGATCAGATGGACCAAACTTATATTTTTCAAATAATGCGCCCAAGATGATGAAGTCGGAGAGTCTTCTGCAATTTCATGATTTTTGTAGGCAGCTGAACAGCCTGCATCAAAGGAGAATGTTAGTGCATTGGAGACCTGGCCACCCAGTGTGGACGGCTCCACTGTCTGCTCGGCCCTGGTAGGCAGACACACTTACTGGGGCTGCACTATATCAGCATAGGTTTCTGGTGTCAAAGGAGGAAGAATATCCAAGGAAATATTTCTGTTATCTTTGACAAAGTCTAAAAGGAGGTGGAGATGTGGCTGGGGATGACTCTTAAAGAGCTGGCCCAAGCAATGTACACAGACATGGATTCTACTATTGATATGGATTTTCTAGAAGCAAACTCACCTTTAAATGATATCTGAATCAAAGACATAATAAAGAAAGCAAGGGTCAAATTTAAATGGAGCAAGTTAAACAAGACAAAGTCAGAAAAAATGAAGATGCCGTAGGAAGCCCCTGGACAGATCTGGCTTTGTTAATCTCAAGGTCCCCAGTTGTTACTCTAATGGGCCATGCTCATCATGGGAAAACAATGTTACTTGACCAACTTTTAAAAACTTAAGTGGCTGCAATGGAAGCTGGAGGCATCACTCAACACATTGGCGCATTTATTGTCTCTCTGCCTTCCAGGGAGAAGTTCACTTTTCTTTCTTTTTTTATTTTATTTTCAATTGATTTTGATGAAAGCTTACAGAGACTTTGGATTTCCATTCATTCATTGTTGCACTTTTCTCCCTGCCTGGCCCTCCTCCCAATTAGATTTTCTTTTTGAAAAGTAAAAGAAAAATCTTTCATTGTTATTCAATCCCTCCCCCCCAAGTCCACTCCACTATACAACCTTCTCATATGGGATAAATAATGTATACTGCATTGAAATAGATGAGGGGGAGAACTGTTTAAAAGGGATAGATGATTGGGTATTATTGTTATGAGAAGATCACCTTCCTGATAGCCCATGATACTCTGCCTTTTCAGCGACGAGGACCCGAGCTCCCTGGTCACTGACATTGTCATACTTGTTGTAGCAGCAGATCATGGTACAATTAAACAAACCCCAGAATCTCTTCAGCGTGCCAGAGATGCTCACATTCCTATGGTCCTGGCCAACAGACAAAGCCGATGCTTAGCCTGAAAAGGTGAAGGAAGAACTGCTGGTTTCTGATGTGGTGTGTGAAGACTATGGGGGCGACATCTAAGCAGTGCCCATCCCTTCGCTTATGAGCAATAACCTGAAGGCTTTGGCAGAAGCAACAGTTGCTCTTGCAGAAATGTTAGAACTGAATGGGGATCTCACTGGTCCTGTGGAAGGCACTGTCATAGAGTCTTTCACAGACAAAGGAAGAGGTCCAGTTACTACTGCAATAATCCAAGGAGAAACCTTGAGGAAAGGCTCGATTCTGGTTGCGGGAAAGTGTTGGACAAAAGTCCACACAATATTTGATGAGAAAGGCAGGACCATGCAGGAGCACTGTCCCAGCACACCACTGGGGACAGTCAGCTGGAGGGACCTCCCCTCAGCAGGAGATGAGATTCCTGAAGTGGAATCTGAGGCAAGGGCACAAGAAAGCGTTGACTGGAGGAAGTATGAGAAGGGACAGAAAAGAAATAAAGACAATCTTAAACTAGCAGAAACAAAGCGAAAAGAACACCAAGAAGCACATCACAAAGCGCAGAAGTGCAGCAGTTTGCACTGTGAGGAAAGGTCATTTTTAAAATACCAAGAAAGGAACAAACCTCCGTAAAGCCCAAAGAACGAGCAGAAAGAGACCTAAATGCACATAATTATGAAAGGTGACGTTGATGGTTTCCGGTTCCTTCGGAGCCATTTTGGACCTATGTTGCTTCACATGAGTGTAAACTAGTATTAGTACATTTTGGAGTAGGTGAGGTTAGTGAAAATGATGTTAACCTTGCTGAAATGTTTGGTGGCCTTGTATATGGCTTCAATGTGAATATAAGCACTAGTCTCTTAAATTCAGAAAAAAAATACACAAATCAAGATTAAGCTTCACAAAATCATTGTCTTGTTGAAGATCCGAACTGAGCAGCAGGCTGCCTGCAGCATAGAAAAACAGCCAGTAAGTAGGAGCAGCTTTGATATTAGTCACCTTTCCTATGACAGAAGGCAAGAAGAAAGTTCCTGTGGCTGGCTGCAGCGTCCAAAAGGGAGAGTTAGAACAAAGAAAGAAATGTAAACTAATCCGCAATGGCCATGAAATTTGGAAGGGTTCATTTATCTCACTGGAACACCATAAAGATGATGTTTCAGGCATCAAAACTGGAATGGACTGTGGCCTGAGTTTGGATGAAGAAAACAGAAATCAAAGTGAGAGATGAGATTATGAAGAAAAAGAAGTTCTAGCCAAGACTTGTTGGGATGCAGGTTTTAAAGTCTTGCAACCAGTTTTTGCTTTATTGAAGGTAAGCATTCAACAGACTATTCAAGAACTCAAGCTGTCCTATCAAGTGTTAATGTGCACTATAAAACACCATCAGTGCTACAGGAACTTGTTTACAGACATTCCCAAGGAATTCCTTTTGTGAAATAGCCATGTAATAAAAGTTGTTTCCATTACTGTAAAATATTTTTAAAACTTTAAAAGTACATAGAACAGCTTGTTGTGGAAGTTAATAGAGAAACAAATTAGGTAAGTAAGATGAAAACCATCCTGTGTCTTAACAGAATGCAAAAAACACATAAAGTGTCTCATTCCTTAAACAGTTATTCATAAAAACCTCCGATGATTTTAGCCGAGAATGAGAATCATGCTCAAGATTTTGCTCCTTCCATGTAGTGGATGGATCAGAAATAACAACCTGACTTTAGATCTTGTCGGTTAACATAAAATCTTAGAGTCCTCCACAAAGTTTTACTGAATCACTCAGTAATATATTTTATATGCTCACTAAAGTTAGAGAACTGACCTGGAAGATTTGGGTAGGTCCGTAGCTATTGAACCAGATTCACAGAATATTAATATCCTCTTTAATCATGGCATAACTTTTAAATGGTTCCTTACCGACAGAACAAGAAATTTTGTGGCAGAAATACCAATAAGTGTGCCAATCACAAATAATTCATATTGCCTTTTCAAATTCACCCTGCACTATTTCAGTTTATGTATTTGAGGGTGGGGGAGGCCCACAATGCAGTTATTTAATCTGGCATTTCTGCTGAATTATTCCGCAATAACATTGATTCTCATTCTTTATCGGCTAGAAGAATGGTTTATTAAATTTTTATTATTTTTCTTGTAAATCACAAAATTCTTGTTAACATTAACCAAGGTTCTGAGGAACAGATTATTCGGGAGGATGGGCTTAATAGTGCTCATGCAAAACCTGTACCTGGGCTAGGAGAATGTTGGGCAAACAGAGCAGGGGAACACTGCATGGTTTAAAATTGAGAGGGTAGTGTGTAAGGGTTGTCTTCTCTGTCCATAATCAGTATGTATGCTGGGCAAAATATGTGAGAAGCTGTCCTGTACAAAGAGGAGTGTCATCAGGATGGAAGAGAAACTGTTTGAGCTGTGGTGTCAGAGAAGAGCAGGGAACATCCCGTGGACAGGCAGAGGAACAAAGTTTCGAAGAGGGTGTGGCTGGAGCAGTCTTGGGAGGCAGGAAGGATGAGGATTCGTCTCACACACTTGGGACATGCTGTGGAAGGTGGAGGAGAGTCAGCGTTGGCGAGGAAGACCCTGCACCTGACAAGGTAACTGGCGCACTGGGCTCCTGTGTGCCACAAGGGTGAGGATGGCGCAGGACAGGACTGCGTTCAGATCTGGGGTTCATAGGGTCGCTATGAGTCGTACTGGACTTGATGGCGCCTAACAACAACATATATAACACTTCAGTCCTCTCTTTATGTAGATATCTGAACATTTTCAAAACAGGAGTGAACTGAGCAAACACACATCTTCTCCCTCAACCTAAATAATCAAAGTTATGTAGATTTTGAAGAAACCAAGACTATAGTACAAAATATTTCTTTTAAAATTTCTCCTTATAGGCTACGTAATATTCTAAGATTTTAAATGTCGAATTTCCATGTTAGACAATTTTGTCAGGGTTTCTCTTAACTTCCAAGCTCTCACGTAACAAAACCCTCTAAAACGTCTTCGTATTGCTGTAGCCTCAATTTCACACACACACACACACACACACACACACACACACACACACCGACGTCTAGTTGTTTGTGAACATCTGGATTTTATTAACGTGGCGTGTTTTACACCCAACTCTCTTTACTGGGAGGGATGGGGTGGGGGGCACCCCCCTCAGGGCCCAGCCTGCTCGTCCTCACTGCTTCCCGAATCGTCGGGCTCCACGGCGTCCTTCGGCTCCTGGGCGAAGGGTTCCATGAGGAGGTCGTCATCCCACAAGGCCAGCTCCACCTTGCCCGGGGCCTGCATCCTCGCCGTCTTTCTGGTGAAGCCGCACTCGAGGAGCGTCATGTTGTCGTCGTCCAGGAGCTGGCCGTCCTTGTAGAGGCGCTGCTCCTCAGGCGGACGCTGAAGGATGCCCTCGATGGTGCGCTTCAGCTCCAGGATGGTGCTCGACTCCTTGGCGTTGGTAAAGATCGTGAGCTGCTGGGTCCGAATCAGTAGAAACACGTCCATGATGGCGCCTGCCTCTAGCGTGCCAATGACGCACATGCGTGACCATTGTTCCCGGCATCCTGCATGCCTATCCCAGCATGCCCTGGGCCCGCACCTGCCCGACACCCTCCCACGACTACGTGAATGCTTTAAAGTACAGGAAGTACAACGTTTTGACACTAATAAGTTTATAATTGACCAGATCCAGAAGATAATGAAACATTTCCAATTTATTCTTTTCTTTTTTTAAATTTATTTTTGTGTGCGTGTACCGTCAAATCAGATCTGACTGGTACAGGAGGAGATTGCCCCTCCTTCCCCGGCAGAGCATCTGGTGGATTCGAACCGTGCACCTCTGGGACTGTAGTTGCAGCCTCTTGCCACTAGGCCACCTGAGCTCCCCATCATTTCCAATTTATTCTAACGCACATTAATCAATCAAACTGAACCCAGGTCACCTAGGAGTGCTCAGGATTCTGGGATAGATCTTGACCATGTCAACAATACAAACATTTTGGACAATAGAAAAGTATGGTGAATAAGAATTATCGTCAAACACCATATGCCCAATACTTTCCTTACCTTTTAAGCCTCATACCTCAGGTGATTAACTGAAACACAGGGAACTATGCAAGCTTACTAATGTTGACTTAACTGGATTTACTTTTAGTATGTATCGCATGTATGATTTTTCTATAAAGTATATACATTTTAAACAAAGTCCTTTAAAGTGAATCTTTAGCAAAATCTATCAAATGGTTCAAGGTCAAATGAATCCTGTAACGAGCACTAAAAGAAAACCTACAATAATCACAATTCGGCCTGCCTCTGGGTGGCACAGAAGTAAAAGCATCCAGCTGCTAATCCAAAGAATAATGATTCAAATCCACTAGCTGCTCAATGCGACATAGACCTAGTAGTCCACTTGTGTAGAGACTGACAACTTTGGAAAGCGTACTACTGGCTGTTCTAAACTGTCCTACACGATCGTGTCATGAGTCAGAATTGATTCAAGAGTAGTGAATTTAATATTTGGGTTATCCTTTATTTTGTATAAACTAACTTTTCTCTAAAGTTATACAATGGTCTTCATTTTGTGACTTCTTGGAAGTTATTAGGTTTTTTTGAAAAACATTATCTACCATAATATGGTAAAAAGGGAAGAGGAATTCTCTTGAGCCTTGATTATCTGTACTAAGGAACAGTCCCGAGGCTATCACATACTATGAGAAAAATGAATGTTGTGACGTTGCATAATTTATATTTTAAGACATGTCTTATTCCTGAAAAAAAAAATCTTATTCATAAAAACCATCCATGATTTTAGCCGAGGCTGAGAAAAAAGGTTTGCTGCTTCAATGTAGTTAATGGATCAGAAGCAACGCACTTTCCCCCCCTTCTCTTGCTGGATAACATAGAATCTTAAGAGCCCTCCACAAAGTTTTAATCTATGATATTTTGTATGTATACTAAAGTCAGGGAAGATCTGACCTGGAAGATTCTGGTAGGTTCATAGCTGTTTAATTAGATTCACACAATATTAGTATCCTGTTTAATCATTAAATTTTAAATGGTTCCTTACCTACAGAACAAGAAATTTTGTGCCTGGAATACCAGGTAACTGGCCCAAGTAGAAAAAAAAATTCACGTTGCCTTTTCATATTCACCATGCACTCTTTCACTTGATGTATTTGAGGATGGAGGGAACCCAATTACATTCATTAATTGGTTCTTTATCTGCTAGAGAAATGCTTGATTATATTTTTATCACTTTTATTGCAAATCACCAAATTATTTTTAAAATTAACTAAGGTATGTGGAAGAGATTATTCGGGAGGCTGGACTTAAATTGTGCTCATGAAAAAAGCTATACCTGGACCAGGAGAATGTTGTGCAGAGTAGGGGAACAATTAATGGTTTAAAGCTGAGAAAGGAGTGTGTCAGTGTTGTATGAACTCTCCATACCTATTCAATCTGTATGGTGAGCAAATTCTTCAAGAAGTTGGACTCTATGAAGAGGAATGTGACATCAGGATTGGAAGAAGACTCATCAACAACCTGCGTTATGCTGATGCCACTATGTTGCTTGCTGAAAATGAACAAGACATAGAGTACTTGTTGCAGATCAAGGGATGCAGCCTTCGGTATGAAATTGCATCTATGTCAAGAAAAGCACTGGACTGGCAGGTAATATCATACTGGATGGAGAGATTTACACCGTCATATGGCTTCATCTTGCTTGGATCCACAATTGGATCCACCCTTGATATCAGCAGTCAGGAAATAAGGAGATGCTGGGAAAATCGGCAGTTAGGGACCTCTCCAATTCATTTAGGAGTAATGATGTCAACTTGAGGACTAAGGTGTGTCTAATACAGACCATACTCTTTCCAATCACTTTCTATCCATCTGTGAGCTGGACAATGAAAAAGGATAACAGAAAAGAACGGATGCCTTTGAGCTGTGGAGTCGGAGAAGAGTACGGAACATCCCATGGACAGCCAAGAAAATGAGTAGATATGTCTTGGAGAAGATGCAGTTGGAGTGTTCTTTGGAGGCAATAATGATGAGGCTTGGCCCCACACATTTTGGGCATGTTTCTAGAGGGGAGGGATGGCGAGGTAGGGGAGGACCCTCAACCTGGTGGACAGACACGGTGACTGCCACAATAGGCTCCTGTGTGTCAGGTAGTATGAGGATGGCACAGAATAGAACAGGGTTCAGATCTATTGGTCACAGGCTCGCTGAGTCATACTAAACTGACGGCACCTAACAACAACATAATCCTTTATTCACCTATTCAGATATTTGAACATTTTCAAAACATGAATTAATGGAGCAAATATGAATTTCCTTCCCGCAACCTAAATACTCAAAATCATGTACATAAACAAACAAACAAACAAAAAAACCAAATCATTATTTTTAAAAATATTTTTTAGTCTAGTTAATATTCTAAGATTTGAAATGTCAAATTCCCATGCTAAACAATTTTATCAGGATTTGTCTTTTACCTTCCAAGCTCTGGTTCCCCATGCAGTCAAACCCTCTAAAAGATCTTCCTATTTCTATAAAAGCTGTAGCCAGGAATTCCCACCTCCCCCCACAGAAACACACTGACTTCTAGTTCTTCATATGCATGGGGATTTTATTAACGTTGGGGTTTTTTTTTTACACCCA